GAAATCATTTCAAAAAGGCTGATAACGGCTTCATCCCGTCTGAGAGTTCGGGCATAAACTTCGAAAGATATGTGGCGAAACTTTTAAGGTGCTGAGCATCGTCCAGAATTTGGGACTTAGGCTTCAATCCTGTCAGGGTCCCGCTCTAGGTCATTGTCAGTAAGGATCCCCGAGAACATGCCCAATGAACTCTTATTACTTTTTGTGACTGAGCCTGAGCTTAATTCCCCTTTTTTTCAAAGTTATGCCACGTTCTTTGCATCGAAGAAGGAGAGCTTCGAGAATTATATCGTTGTCTGCATAAGCCTGCTCTACTGTGTCACACGATACACGAGGTTGTCATCGGTTATGCGGTTAAGCATACCTCGTTCCAGGCCCCCCATGACTGACCTTTTTTTGAAAGGGCATGCAATCTCAGCTAGCGGAACTTGCCATAGGTTGTTCCAAACATCGTTAGTAAACTAGACTCTTCGCTTAAAACACAGTGCGAGAAAGCGGTTGGGAGGACAACCTTGGTGAACGCCTTGACCTGGGCGCAACTTCCGGCTGTATTTAATCGAGGACCTTGTTTTTTCTCTTAAGGTATCTGTTGAGATGTTTGGGGTAGACACAGATCCTCGATGTACCAGATCTCTTTGTTGACACCACAATGTTATTAACCAAGGGCGTTGGCTAGTCTTCAGGCACGATGATGGTCTCATTCAATGTCTTGTCCAAATCGTCTTCAGTTTTTCCTTCGATGGGGATATAATCACCGGTTCAGCGTTAGGCTCAACCTCCTAGCCTGCGTAGCAGTCATTTCCGTTTCCCGTGAAGAGGGGCAAATACATGCGCAAGGCAAAAACGAGCAGAAATGTAGGATTGGGGAAGAAAAGGAAAAATGTCTGAGCACAACGCGAGATTACAAACGATTGGACGAGGATAAATTTAGATATGACATTGAAACGACACCTTTCCATGTTTCATTGGTTTTTGACGAACACCTGATTGACAGTATCTGTAATGAGCATGCCCCATTAAAGCAAGTGAAAATTTGGGACACATCAGCGCCGTGGATCACTAATGACATAAGATATAAAATGGGGCGAAGGTATAAGTTATTCAAACAGACCATTTCATCCAAAAGCCCAAAATTGTAGTAAGAGTATAAGAGAGCTAGAAATGAGCTCACCTCGGATCTGAGACAATTCAAGGCCGCATACTTCTCTAGAATATTTACAGAAGTCAAGAAAACTGGCGCTTATTAGAATTTGCTTAACAAAGCAATAAAACCTTTAACGCATGAGAGCATTGGTCCCCTCCAAAGAGACGACAGTACTCTCGCCTTGACCGACTAGAAGAAATCTAATCTGATGATTTCGTATTTTTCTACGATTGGCGAAAAGCAAGCAGCGACACCTTCGTCTAACAACAATGTTCCGCAATCAGCCCAAATAGTGTACATATAAGATGTCAGCTATTTTATTATTATTATTATTATTTGTAATTATTTTCTTCTATAGTTGAAAGACTTTTTATTTTTTACACACGACCCCACAAGCTTGTAAGCTTTTTTATAACTGTGTCATAAAGGTCTTTTTCTTCTTCTTCACAGCGGCCGATATTTCCTTTCCTTCCCCGCCCCTCCCCCCCCCTACTATTTTGCTCCTTTCTGCCTCGCGCGTCTTCCTTGCCTGCCCCGCTTGTTCCGTTAGGTAGCGGAAACGACTGCTATACAGGCTACTCAACCTCCAGGTTAACTTTGCCGGGAAAGGTTCCAACTGGGCGGTTAAATACAGCTGAAATCTGCTGGAATTCCCTCGCTAATGCACCGAGACTGCTTTCTTTAATTCCACTTCCCTCCGGCGAATCCGATTGTTTCGCACGAAATTCTTCGCGTTCACCTTGATAATCTTCCTGTGCTGGGCAGCCTGTGCTACTGTAGGCGACGTCAAATTAACTGCTACAACCTCAAACTCTCCCGAACGCTTTTTCCAATCCGACTTATGGGATTTCGAGTTATGATTAGCGTCACTTCTAGATTTCTGTTTTGTTCCACATAGCCAGGCGTTTGGATGTCGGTGACAATTTAGAATCGCTGACGGGGCGTTTCCTAACGATATTGACTGACGCACCACAGTCAATTTGGAACATGAGCAACGCCCGGTATTTATTACTAGCAGTGTAAAGATCTCTTTGAAAAGAGGAGATTCCGGCAATCTGGGGAATTTAATTATCGCACTGAAAGTAGAAGCGATAATGCTGGTGATGAAATCTATAGCACTATCATCAGAGTTAGATTAGCTTGATAACTCGATCTGTTTATAACCGCTTTGTTTTTTGGCAAGGCTTCGCGATATATGATTTCGTTCTCCGAAATTTCAGCACTTGGAATACTGTTGGAACCCGAAGTTGGACGTTTCTCTTTAATTTCTTCAGTGTGAAGTCTCTACAACAAAACGTTCACTGTTTTGTGGAACACCTTGATGGAAGTCGTAGTGTAATACTGCTATGTGCCGCAGGTTTGGTATTAGATATGCACTGTCCTTAGATGGGGTATTGCTTTTGCTATTGTGCTCCTTTGATAGGTTTCTTTTGCTTTTAAAGCAAAAAAGCAAAGTCGCTGTTAAGAACCAGTTTTTAACGACGTACCGAGCAAGACGATTTAACTAGGTTTATTATATACTGTAGATAGGCATTCTACGCTTTCAATCTGCCGTTTAAGGGGGACATTTTTCATTATCTATTTTCCCTTAAAATGGGGTGTTATTCTTTTGCTTCTTGCAGTAGAAGTGTGACAACTTTCAGGTCAGGTTTGGTAGACTGGAGCCTATTTTCTGCTGGTTCCCAGGGTCTTCCTCTTCCCCCGTCCACTTGAAAAGATGGCGGAAAGAAGCTTCGACAGCTTTGTAGGACAAGATATCGAATTCGTAAGCTCTTGGTTCTGTTGGTTTCGGGATCAAGGCTTGGAGGATTTGATTGAAGCTTTTGCGAGTAAGTGATTGATCCTTATTTACTTACCGTTATAATATATGGCTGAAAACTGATCAGTACATCGGCTAGATTCATACATATTCAATTGATAGGTACTTTCCATCGAGGGATCATAATAGGATCATAATAGGACTGGTACTTAACTTTGTATTTACACATTTATTCGAGGCTGGGCGCTTATCAACAGGTACATACGAAGGTATTGGCCAGCAACTAATTGGATTTTGTGGTTAGGTTTCTGTTGTGGTTCGAAGGATTGCCACTGGTCACTTTTTTTTTTTATTTGCAGTAAACATTTTGAATCTTTCCAGGCCTCGTTTGATTGAGTTGGAAGCCACTATTACTTCTTTAAGATTGCTCGTTAGACAAGAACGGTGTACCACGTGTTGTGTCAACCTGTTATAAGATCTAACAAGGAAAGCTTGAACTCTCCTGGTGTCCTTATTCGAATGATGTAGGATGGATGTTACGATTAGCGGAAATTAAATGCTTTTTAAGAATGGCTTGTTTGTGTCTAGTGTGTCTAGCTCTGTCTAGATCCTCTACTCTGGCAATGCTCTGTCCAGAGGCACATCCACGTATTGGCCATATAGGGATGGTTACCCGCCGGGTAACCATTGAATGCAAGCCACCTAGTACAATAGCAAGGTTCAAGAATACATTTCGTAAGTCAGATAACTAGTCAACATTAATCTAAAAAAATGTTTAGGACTGTGAATAAAGTTAAATGTTTAAATGAGTGGAGATGTTACGTGCTAGCAGACGTCATCTCCATCTTTGTTTATGAAGTACCATGCATATTTTGGCGTTATATTAATGTTGACGAAGTAAGTTTAATTACTCTCAAAAAGTTATTACAAAGTGCGATGGACAGTTGTTACAAATTGCGACAGCTTTTTTATTACAAAGTGCGACACGGTTTATTACAAATTGCGACAGGTATTACAAAGTGCGATGGATTTATTACAAATCGCGACAGGTATTACAAAGTGCGATGATTATTACAAATTGCGACAGTACAACATCTCTCTAAGACGAACACTTACTACCGGTCTCAAAAGTGTTGACGTATTCTTTAACTATTTTTTTCCACCATTCGCTCTTCCAGGTGGCCTTGATTTATGCTGAGTTTCCAAGTAATGTTCCATGTTGTTCACCTAAAATGACCACGATTAACATAACTAGGGGAAATGGTCTTACTTTGGCTTATTTTTATTGTTATACCTCTGTAGGTTTCCCAGCTCTTATAGTGGTTATGTCATTGGCGGCTACTCAGGCTGACGGGTACGGAACCTCGGAGACGTGTTGGCTTGATGTCCCCAGTGGTCTGATCTGGGCATTTATTGCTCCTGCTGTAATAGTTATTTTAGTAAGTTAATTTTTATTTTCAACAGAAGATAGATTCTAAACGATATAATAACAACTGCAAAACAACTGTTATTAATACATGTACGTAGACAACTTAGGCGAGGACCATGCGTCAAACTATTTATGAGAAGAGCCACTTGTAGCCTGCAAATACAACCGTCCCTCCCCGCTTCCTCCAAGAGCGAGGAGACTGGAGACGGCTTTATTTGCAAACCAAAACGTTCCGTAATCGAGTTAGGTTCCAATGCTGGATCAAAAGTAGACGCTTACTTAAAACTAAGCGTCGGACTAAGTTCAAAAGGAAAAATATGGCGCGGAACAATTTACAATAGGCCATTTCCGAGTTCCCCCGGGCCTCTGTTTCAAAACGAGGGTAGGTGCTCAGCCTTTGATATGGACATCACTTTTCATTCTCATGCAAATAAAACTCATTTTCACAAGAAAGGTTGTGCACCTAGCCTCATTTTGAAAGTGAGGGTTTTGGAATCGGAAGTGGCCTATTGTTCTGTGGAACATCACTTTACGAAAACGCGTTTAAAACGGCAGTTTTTATGATCTATTGATCTAATAAAAGCTTTGCGTTTTATAGTTTAATATAGACTGACAAGCTTGTCTCTCCACAGATTAACATCGTAGTGTTTGTTTTGGTGATTCGACAAATGATGGGAACCCGACACTTGCAAAACAAGACGCAAGTCGAAAAAGTCAAAGCTGGGCTCAAGGCCACCACGGTCATGCTTCCCTTGCTTGGTATCACTTGGTTATTCGGACTTCTTAACTTTAGTTCATCAACTGTCGCATTCAAGTACATGTTTGCCATCTTCGATTCACTTCAAGGATTGATGATTTTTATATTTCATTGTCTTCTTAACAAACAGGTAAAAAGTCGTAAAGATTTTATAGAGTCCATGAGCTGCAATTTAAGTACCACTTAGGGATATTTCGGCCTACTTTAAAATTTTGGTAATTCGTAACGGAGCACCAAAGAAAAAAATCCGTCGTCATGAATACAGTCCGATTGCTTTCATTTGAATCTTTGTTACAGTGTATTAGACGTTTATTGTGATTTGATTTTTACACCTCGGTGACATGAAATTAGCTAATCGACAGCAATTTTCCATTCCAACCTACTAGAAATGACGTCAAAAACTCATGTGTAACCACGAGACGCAGACTAGTGATTTCACTGAAAGTCTGTTCTCTTATTGACTCGAGCTCTCGACTGATCAACCCTTGAGGAATTACTTAGTTGTTGTAAAGCACTGTATAAAACCACTCCCGCATGATAGACTTCTTCAGGTAGTTCTTCACAGTAGTTTTGACAGCACTGTTTGGTCGTTTGGGCACTCAAACCTCTGACTCTTGGGAATCTTTAAAAGCCACTAATGCTGTATTCGTTCCTCTTTTGCACGTTTTGGATGGAAGCCGCCCAGTGCTAGTTTTTGGGTAAGAAGAATAACTGGATCATGACAACTGTACAGAACAAGAAAAGATGTATTTTGTGCTTTTTTGTTTTCTCCAGATAAAGGATGCCATAAAAAGAATACGAGACAAAACGAGCTCTGGTGTCGTGTCATCGACACCTAAAGCCAATCCTTCTCCCATCTTGCCATCGAAGCAAGTTATTCAGCCTGGAAAAGGTATTTGTCGTCTCTGTGTGATATTGTAACCTATTTTTTATTCATAATAGCGGAGCTCCACGCGCGCGCTTCGCGCGCGCGTAGGCGGAGCCCCATTGCTAAGTAAATCTACCCATCCCAGAAAATTTGGTAATCACGTGACCGTACACCGACCGCCGACCGACCGTCCGTCCGCACCACAGGAAAACCAATGTTTACTCTCACATTTTAGCTAGTTTGGGAGCCCAAGAGAAAACTAATTTCACATCAATGTTGTGATCAATTGACAGCTGTCAAAACAGGGCATCCGCTGACCAGTATCACCTGACCGTAGCGCGGGCTCAAGTGTCGACCCATCGAGGTCGAGTATTTTTTGAAGTTATCCGCTGACAAATTACCAGTTTGAAATGATCGCAGGCTCAAGTTTATTTTTTCCAAGGATTCATATCAAATATGTTGTGTTTATGTCACTATGGCCCCGCACTATTAGAATTTTGATTTCAAACTGACTTCGGAAGCGAAAATTCAGCCAGTTTTTTTAAAAGTACAGGCGGGGAAGACCTTATCTTACCATGGTCACGCGTTGGTCACGCTCTACGTCCAATTTTTATACTCTGATTGGTCAAAATTTGACAGGTGAGTTCATGCGAAAAAATTATGCAGCATCTTGAAAATTGTTTACTTTGACAGCTGAAGCTGAAGAGTTTTGTGTCAACTTGTGATGTTTTTAACTGTCTTTTTCTTCTGGATGTACAAAATGAAATACAGCTGCTATCAAGAGTCTTCTGTTATTCATGGCTGGTTTGTTTACTGGGTTTTTGGTTGAGGAACGCGTCGCTTGTCAAAATTTGGTAATTCGATTTCGGATGGCATCGTTTTCGTTTTTCACCTTGCTTAATGCTTAAGAGGGTTTAAAAGTCTCAAGCAACTGTGGCCTTCCTTGATAGCTTTCAGGAACTGAATCTCGAATGGTAAGCCTGAGTAACTATTGTATTTGATGTTTGTTTTTGTTATATCTAATTTCATGAAGTCTTGCACATTCACGCTGACAGTTTATGCGGCAAGTTTATGCACGTTTGTAGCCGTAGTTTGAGTCAATGATCTGACCTAGTATCAGGTTTGAACGGTTTGATATAAGCTTACAGAACTTTAAAAAGTCTTCAGATATATTTGCTCACCACAGATAGAAAACGTTCCGAAGAATATTTAGTTATAAATTTGGCTGTAGAAAGAAAACTTTGAGCGATTTTCTTGCTTCGAGGAGTTCACCTTGGAAAACAGTAAACACCCGAGCCGGGAAGCCGGCTTATAAAGCTTCACGCCGAGACTCAGGATTTTTAGAGACACTTTAATACTTGTCTTCATGAACGAAAATTGTTATCTCTGTAAATGTTTCACCGAATTATATTTCTTTTTTTGATTGTTAGTAGTCTCTCTTGCAATTTTAATCGCTTGTCTGTGCCGTTTGTTTTCATCGTTCATGAACATCGCTTGCAGGAGTACTAAAAAATGTCGCGCGTATCAAACGCTTTATAAGATTACACATCATTATAACTGAAACCATTAAATAACCAAAAAAAAAAAATTAAATTCGCTATTATGTTGAAGTGTAACGCTATTTAAAAAGTTCATTCAAACACTCGACCACACTGACAGTTCGCACTATAGAAACGAGAACCGGCTAGCCATATGGGTGATTTTGGAAATTTTTGAACGGTTTCGCTTTACGATTGATCGTCCTGAATATTGACTCAGTGCAATTTGTCTTGAAAAATTGTGAAATACTGCATTCTGTCCGAGGTCTGTGTGATAAATAGTACTGTTTCACCTCAAATGTGATGTATAAAAATTATAAAAGGTTGGTTTAAACACCCCAGATTTGTTGGCGAGAAAAAAAAAATTCGGCGTGATTTGTTTTCCAAGAATTTGTTTTCGAGGCCTAATCTACTGTGATCTTGAATGTGATCGAAGATGTTTGTTATTTTTTGGGTGTACATATAAGGTTATCAATTCGATGTAAGATGTTTCACTCTAAAATAACTTAGCCTTTCCCTCAAAAGTCACATGAATGTGCCCTTAAGTTAAATGATTTGTAGATTAAAAGTTTATTTTTTAATTTAAATTATAAATTTATTAATTGGAGCTTCGCTTTTAGCCCTGGCTAAATCTATATATTATTTTCCGTTTATTATTGGCTCAAATCCACCAGCTAATTCTTCAAACCATAAGATGAATTCTTCTTATTAGTTTTTCAAATAAATACTTATTTTATTAAAATATAATCAAGTACTTTGGATGGCAAACTAAGTTTTCCTCCTTTAATTTTGTTTCAGTACCAAAGAAGCGATCAAACCGAGCTCAAAATGATTATGAAATGATGGAGTCTCTTTCTCGTCAGTGACAGCGTTTCCAAGCTACCTTCCGGCTCAGTGGCAGAAAAAAACGTTATGGTTGATATACCGAGCGAACAGCAACCTGAGGCCGAAACGCATCTTAGAGACGCTCCAAAAAATCTGTATGATTTACCGGATAAGAGCGAAGAAATCGATCCAGTTAAGGGTACAGAGGAGAAAAGCGCCCTGGGCGTCTTTATACCACCAAACGATGAGACAATATTACCCAGTGATGACGAACCTACTTCTCTGTCAGTCTCTGAGGAGAGTAGTGCTGACGGGAAAGACGTCCATGAATCCTTAATGCGTAAAACAGAAGGCGCAAAAACGAATGAGCAACCGCTTGAAAATCATGAAAAGAGGTTGTCATTACAAGGATATGCTAATGACATTTTTGCCCAATCTCCTCCAAAAGCAGAGGAGATTCTAGGGAGAGAAGAAGGTCGTTTAACGCCGAAAGAAAGCTTATCTTCCTCATCATTAAATACGGAGGAGGAAAATGTAGAATTGTCAGCGGAAGTAAATTCAGGGATTAGTCCTGGTGAGGTCAGTTGTATTATGGACGAAGGACCTCTAGAGGGAGCTCTACCCTCAACCTTCTCAGAAGAGACAACATCACGGATAGGTGCAAAGGTAATTAAAAGTACCACGAATCTTGTCCTAGCCCTTAAAATACTGCTTGTGTTTTAGAAATTAAAATAGGCACATATCGTCAAGACTAGAAGTGCATCCTAGCCGAGAAAGACATTGTGCATATTGCAAAAGAATAGTTATTGTAATAAGTTAAAAGAGTTGTTCGCAATGACTCAGACAATGTCATTTAGGCAACGGAAGCCCTACCGTCTGTCTTTGTATTTACAATAAGGTTTAGTTATGGAATAATAACTCGTAAAAACGGGAATAACGTTCGTTAGAAGCTATTATACCATCTTGGTAGAATATTGAAATAATCGATAAACAAAATAAATGTCTTTACACTAAAAATGTACATGGTTTCTTTTGCGACAGAGAGTAGATCCAAGAGAGGTTAAAGATGAGGTCAAAAATGACGAGGATTTTGAGGTAATATATCAAAATAAGAATTAATTTAAACACTCTATATCCTTCTCTTGGGAATTCAGTGACTTTTTTTTCAAGCTACCGCAATACTGAACATTCTGCACCCGTAAGATAGAGGGTTTTCTAAGGGCCTGTTTACATGAAGGTGGGGGATCCCGGGTAGCTGAGGTAACCTGCTTAGGTGGGGTAACCCGCCTGTCCATATAATCTCTCATTTTAATTTGTTCATGTTTACATGATAGGTGGGGTGACCCGCCACATGTTACCTCACCTATCTGGGGTCCCCCACCTCCATGTAAACAGGCACTAAGAAACCTCGTTTACACCTACTTATAACTATCGGGATTCACTTTTAAATTTTAATAATTGAAAAAGCATTTACAACGTGTCAAGTTCAGTCGTGCGTGCAACGCCTATTAGTCTCGCTTGCTTTGAAAAGCGAGACTCTTAAAATGCACTCGTTTTTTTTTTTTTTTGTCGGACCTAGTTTGTAGGCCCCACGTTCCTAGCGAGGACCGTGGAAACTGGGGATAAGAATCGTGACGACTTTCATTGTATGGAAATGAGTCTCGTGATGAGAATGCAGTTTATTTCGGCGATGACTGAAATGACGCATGTAAGTTTGGCAATGACGTAATTTTCCTCGAATGGAGGCCCTTGATTTTCGTGTAATTATACACGACATGCAGGCACATCCCCAAGCAGGATGAGAAAATATTATAGCGGGGAAATCCTCAGGATTTTGTGGCTTTTTAAGGCGTTACGTTTCTCAAAATATTGTCGCAATTACAGGAAATGTACGGTTAAATAGATTCACTTTGTTTTATCTATTTAATTGATAGATTTTCGCAGTTGTTACGATATGAAGTCGCGTTGCACTTCATAAATACTTGAGATATGAAGTATCCACTGTCACGTAATTTTTACGTGCGCACGTGCGTAAAATTTGCGTTCGCAAATAAACTAAAGGCAATGTATGAAAGGCTGCACGTACAATTATGTAAGCGTAAAAGTAGAAACTCGCTTAACTTGACTTTTAATCTCAATACTTTATGTCTTACCTCTATTTGATTTACGTGATTAAAATTTACGTGCGTTAACGTGCGGAGCCAAAAACGTATCAATGGAAATCCACCCTAACGTGTCACGGTTAGCTTTGAACTTGACTCACCGCACACTCTACTTGCAGCACTTGATGTCCATAGTTGATGGAAATCCCATATCGAGCTTTTCCGGAACGGGTTGGTCCAAGAATTCTATGGCTTGAAAGCGTTGATTATTTTGGAACAACTGATCACTTCAGTGGTCGAAAAAAAAAAGAATAATCTTAATGAGCAAAACTTCAAGGTTTACTGGAAAATCAGGATCGAGGATCGAGGATCGAGAAATCAGGGATCAAGGATCGGTTAAAAAGAACTTGAAAATAAAATAAAAAAATAAATCGTGGATCAGTGATGATGTGGGCCGTAGACTGTAGATAAATTTCAGAGAACATAACCCCGTTCGCTGTACTGAACGCTAAATTCAAGTAAACTAATCCGAGTCTGTCTGAGTCACTGATTGTTTTGACGAGAAAGTGAAATTTTCCGGGAAAATGAAACGCTTTATCCTGGTGATACTGTAATACAAGAAAAAACTTTTAGCAGTTTTTAATTTTTAACTCGTGGGGACGCGCGAGCGTACCACGAGTTATTACTGGGACAGAGATATGCAAATGAGTCACTCGCTCACTCGTAGTAGACGGACATCGTAATTAATCGGGTTCGAACTCGAGAGTGCGAAGATCTATCGCTTCCGAAGAAGCACGCGCTCTTGAAGTTCGGTGGGATCAAATTCTTCGCTGAGAGCGTGCATCGTTCGGCGTTCGCTACTCAGACTCAGAGTTTTCTTAATGGCAAATTTTCTACAGCACGGTTAGAGGTCTTACCAAATTTAAGACACGTAGGAGTCTTTCAAATGAGTACGATGGTTAACTTGGGGATTGGATTTCAAGAGCCTTTGACTCGTCCAGGCGTTAGACTTGACGAGAAAATGAGCAATTACTCTTCTGACTCCGAAAGATCACGGTGGATATACAAATTCCAGCTTGCTGGAAAGTGATCTGAAAGTAAGAAAATGTCATACCATGCTATTCTTAAGAACCTGTATGGGCCGAAAATGGATGTCATTTTGACCATTAGCTTCAAAATAACCGCAGAAATCGAGATAAGAAAACATATGTTTTGCCCCCCACTTCGCTGACGAGGTGTATCGGCTTTGTCAAGCACATGTTATTTTGTTCATTCGTTGCCATGAAATGCGTTGACATTGTTTTTTCATTGTCAATAGCTCGGTTAACGCGGCTCGATCACACTGAACGAATTTGCTGGCGGAAGTTCCATGGATAGTGCATTAAGTTAAAGAGTTTTCGCCAGAGTGACGTAATCAGCCTTCGTGGTGTAGTGGTAAAATAAAGTCGCATACAGCCGAAGGTTCCGGGGTTCAAGTCCTGCTTTGTACCGTTCTTTTTTTATTTTCTTTCTTTCTTTTTTTCCCGTTTTTGGCTTGTTTTGTTTGCTTATTTGTTTTGTTGTTTTTCTATAAATATGTACCTAAATAACCGTTATTTAATAAAATGCAATAAACAAAAATAAAAGTATTGTGTTGGTAGAACAAAGATAGTATATTAAATATATTGTACATGGATAAACAATCTGAATTTCTATCATTTCCTACAACTTACCGTGGGAAAACCAGAGTTGATAACCATTTGATCATTTTCTAAACAATGTTCCCACGAGTTGACGATAGGATGATTAAGTATACATTTGCTTTCAGTACTCCTTATTTTTCTTGTAATTGTTGTATGCACGACCCCACCAGCAATGCTGATCTTTTTATCGTACCATAAACTAAGTTTCTTTCCTACCCACCTACCTACCTACCTACCTACCTATCTATTTATCTATCTATCTATCTATCTATCTATCTATCTGTCTGTCTGTCTGTCTGTCTGTCTGTCTGTCTGTCTGCCTATCTATCTATCTATCTATCTATCTATCTATCTATCTATCTATCTATCTATCTATCTATCTAAAATGCATACTGTGTACAACTCTAAACATTGTACTCTGAGACTGTACGGAGATATTAAAAGTAGATACTAAGCAGCTATGGAAAATGTCATTACTTTCATGCGATATTGATATCTTGTAAAACGGACAACAAATTCAGCAGTAATACGCGCGAACTGAATTTACTGTGTGTTGTATAAGGTTCTGTTCAACTTACACTTTTTTCCTGTGCTGAACATATACTGTACCGAGCTGTACCTTGGTCCGGTACAAAGAAGCTATGTATATTTATACTGACAGAGTCATGGGCCCCTGATACCGATAAAAATCATCGTTCAATTTTTCGAGTGTAGAATCCCTGAAAGAGTACTCCTCAATGGAGCAATATCAATATGTAGAAGGTTTT